TTCTAAATAATTGTTTAGCACATAACACACCTTTGCGTCCGCCATTTTACTATTCTCGTGATTAAAGAGCTTTACAGTGAATTGTTCAAATTAATTGCCTTCGTGTTCATGCTCGTTAAATAACAGTTAAATTCTTATATCTTAAGACGCTAAATGATAATGTGAATAAATACATTTCTACTGCCTTTCTCTTTTACACCCGACACAAGCAATTTCTATTGAGTTTTCTGACCAAAAATAATAGTTTCAAAAACTGGTACTACGTACGGTGCATTAAAAGCATCCATTGTTACTTCGTTCAATGACTACTTACTCGAAAAGGGCTGAAACAGTTGCCTTTCGTTATTGCTCAACTGTGCCACTATTAGGTCACCATTTTAGGAAGAGCTGCACGTTTAACAGCTCATCTATACTACATACATAATACAGCTAAAAAGTTTTATTTAAAATTTAGTTGACCGAATTGAAAATAGCGAATGAAAATAGAGCATAGATCTTTTCACCATTTTAAGAATGATTAAAAGAGTTATGATTGATTTATGTATTCTTAAGTTCGTTATTATAACGCTTAACAACACGACTAAAGTTATGTTTAAAATAAGTTAAGTACCTAAATTGATTTATGTAAAGTTTGCTTCTAATATTTTCATTTTAAATCCTTAATAACAACAAAAATACGTATTATTCTACACGGACAAAGCCGCGTGCGCAGCTTTTAGTAGATAAGAGCTACAGCACGGAAATACTTTCTCCGAGTCAAAAATTTTTTCAATTATTTTCGTTTTTAAATTGATAAGAGCTATTTAAGTCGACCACTCTTGTGAGCATTTGCGGTGGCCGAAGTTTCTCCCAATTACACCGTCTCTAGGCGGCGACTGGGCATGCAATGAGGAATCCAGTCTGTCGTGACTGTGATAAAAAACTGACGCAAATTGTCGATACGCCTCGTGCACACAATTTCATGCTACAACTTTAGAGAACAATCTAGATTCGTCATAATACAATAACGAGAAAACACGATTTGAACGATTCGAAACAAGAACAGTTTACGATATAGAGAGGTGTTTTTGATGGTAATAAAAGCCTTCTATGGATCCTTGAAGATGCCGATGTATAATGTAAAGAAAAAATGTGTGTGTGTAAGTATGATACAATTTTAGCTAGCCCAAAATATCGAGAAGATCAAAGTCATTAATATAATTAAATAAATAAAATTAAATAATTAAAACTAACTGAATTATAATACACTGCTATATATTAGACATACTACAAAGTATATTTTATCGTATTGATACTTGTTTATTAGATTGTAATTAAGTTTTATTTCTGATAGAGGAGAACAAACTAGCATAGCACTTGATGGAAGCCCAATCTATCAAGATGGCTGTCAACTTTTGGCTTAGGATTTTCGAAATACATATTTAGAAAAGTTAAATAATAATTTTGAAAAAGGCGTGAAGCTCAATTGTGTTTCGGTTTCGGCCTATGGATTTCCGAATATCCAAAGCCAAATTTGGTCGAGAGCGCATCTTGTTTAGATGCTATAGGCTGGGGTATATCACCTACCATAAAGCTAACCCTATGATTGTCTGTTCTTCTCTATTATTAAAAAAAATATTATTGATGATTATTACGTAATATTACTAGACACATTCGTATTTAACGGGAACTCTCAATGTCCAACTAATTACTAGTAAGAAGTAAATACTGTTTATAGTTTACGCGAGTAGTATACATTTAAATAAAACACTTTAACGGTTTAAAACGCGATATATTAGTTGAACTTATTTGAAAATGTTTTTTAACTTCGGCCCGACGTTTCGGATGCTTTGCAGCAGCCGTCACGGGGAGACTAAAGATGTAGGATGTTTCTGACGTCATAGTAAAAAATTGCTACACTAGCGCCATCTGTTCCGTCGAAGTTGGTATTTGGCGAAACTGGCCGGATCCTTACAGATTTCTGTAAGGACCCGGCCAGTAGTTGTAGTAGTAAGACGTAGTCAGATTGGATAAAATTAATTTTGAAGTATATTGTATTGAAGGTAAACAGTAATAATGAAAAATAGCTGCGCTCCCGTAGTGCTGAGTCTATGGACAATGCTTTTGTAGAGTCATCATTTTGCAGCTACGATTTGTCGCGGACCGATAACGCTTTTTTGTTTAATCCAGCATTTTAATAGGGCTGTCAACAGCAACGTAAAAGAGATCAATCATGCCCGCGGAAACATTACTTACAAGATTATTATTTATTTATTATATATTTAGATATATACATTCTATTCTAAGAGAGTATATTTTCACTGTGAGGAAAAAAACTGTTTTGTAATATTTACATAAGTATGTGTGTCTCAGTATAGCGTATATTATAAAAAATACTGTATGTAGCTTGTAGTTGAAATACGTGAGTAGTACAACATTTAAATGAAACACTTTAACGATTTAAAACGCAATATATATTAGATAATTTACTTATTTCAAAATATTACCCCTGTGACCACGGCTGCTCCAAAGCATCCGAAACGTTAAAATTATTCGAATAAGTTTAACTAATATATACCGGGTTTTAAACCGTTCAAGTGTTTCATTTAAATGTATTTCCAGTGAAACTTGTACCGATAGTAATCGAAGCAAATAATAACCATGGTCAACCCTAAAAAAGCACCATTGCCCACTGTCCATAGGCAGTGGATGCTTATCTCCGCGATTCGTTCCGGCCAGATGACACGGTGCGTGACGCCGTCCGTCGATTAGAAATCTCTCGGATGCCACACTACCTTGTGCTGTCGACTGTCTTGCAACCCGGTCTCGACGCTCTATTTTAATACACCTTGGTCATTCTTAATTATTGGGTTAGAGATGAAATTCCATCGATAACAAAAGCCCAATAGAGTTTTGAGAATTATCGGTGCAAGCAGCTCGAACGATTCTGTTAAAATTTGGTGTCTAAGTCTCTACTATTGCGCTAAACTAATTTTAATATAGAGTTATGGTGTATGTCAATTACAAAAAATATACACTCAGTTAGGAATTAAGTTTGAAAAATTTGAGGAATAATTGTATAAAAGTATTTACCTATGTGGTAAAATATAATATGTACTTTTTTATTATCTACTTTCCCACGAATTTTCAAAGAAGTCCTATATCCTGACGTGAGTTCAACATTTTAACTTTGACTTCATTGAACCAACTTAATCAATAAATTATAACGTTTAAATCCCGGGGAAACAGTAAATTGTTTCGGTCGGGCGGTCTGATCAACTAATTGTCTGTAAATAAGACTGATCAGTGAAACGGACACAGAAGTGTGTTCGCCCGATGCCTCACGGGGAACGGGATTTCACACAAGCATAATATAGTTTCTAGAAACTCTTCTCTTATGGAGCTCTTGTCAATTAACAGTTCTGTCATACTCTTTGGAATACGAAATTTGAAAAAAGAATAGAAAAACAAATAATGTTTCACAATAATTATGAATAGCTATTGAATAATGGTAATGACTTGCGTGGCACGCGAAACCTCGGCCTTGTACATGGCCTGGAGAGTTCAGAAGTCCAAAGAGAGATTCATCTTTGTCAATGTCATTCTTATTGTGACTCAGATCAACAGCTAATAAAATAGTAACTAATAATAGATTTTAATGCTTTGCTGTAAAGACATTACGTGCCGTAGGATGCATAAAAATTGTTTTTACTTGTAACTACTTTATCGTTTATTGTATCTTTTATGGTTATTAAAGATTTATTAGATAAAATAGTAAACTTTCTACAATGGGTATTTTTAATATTGGTATTAATTATGCTTATACACAAGTACACTATTTTCGCGACCCTTATCTTCTTTCTATTCAGCAGTGTAGAACGCAAATTATTTCTTTAAATTTAATACAGATTTTCAAACCTATGAAATGCAATATTTATTATAAACTGTTAAATGTAGTTGTTTGTTAACTTTTATCATTTATCTAAATTCATTAATGACCCTTGTATGTAGATATAAATATGCTTTAGTTAAAAAAATACAAAACCGATATAAACAGGATCCTTTATTTTATATCAAAAATAAAATATTTTAAGTCCTACCTTGGTGTCGTCCAAATGCTATGTAATGACTTGCTTGACTTGGAGCAAAAAATATAAGTATTTTAACTTTAAACTGAACATTACATTGAAATCTTTACAGAGTTAAAAGAGAACGAGAAACTTCTCAACTTAGTTTTTTTTTTTGCTCAGGGACATCTAAACTGAACATATTAATATACCTATTTTAGAATTGAGCTGAAATAATCCCAAAAGTTTCGCGTATGTAAACGCATTAATAAAATATACCTACTCAATAAAGACATAAGACGATCTTTACGTAATTAAAGAAATTATTGCCACGTGTTGCTTTCAATCTAAGCCTCGCTTAACTGCTAAGAGATTCCCTAAGGTTCGAAGTAGCCACCGTTGTACTCTAAGTAGCGGCTGATAACTAGCTTACTGTTACAAGTCTGCAACCAACGACTACGTCATGCAACGTTTTTGCCGATAACGCCGTTTTGTCACTCATATAAAAATTGCCATTGGCTTAAATAATATAAAGATTATTTTACTTCAAATAATCGCTTATTAGAAGGAAAATAACTATCAGTTTACATTCAAAGTCCATTTTCTCATGATACATTTTGTTCTCGAGAAATGCAGTAAGGCAAAGTGTGAAATACAATAGAACAATGACCCAGATCCGCCAAAGATAAGTGCCATCGATACGCATGTGTGGAATTGATAACAGACAACAGTATGCACGCACGCATTCAGACCTTATCGAGCCAACCGCTGTTTGCCGAAGTAACAGCAACACGCTAACCGTGAGAACCAGCTAATGTCTAATTGTATTAGATGCTGGCGAAGGGCGAGCCCGTTCAGCTAATAACTCGACACCAGATTGTAATAAAGCAGCAGCTGCAACGGCAGATGCTAACCGACGCTGACGGAGCAGCGTGAATCAAAATGCGAACTCACCCGTGAAGATTGCGGAGAAAGCGCCGGCGCACTCACAAACAGAACACGTGCACGAATGCCGCGCACCTGCGAAGGACTGATACGCCGTTTCCATATTTAACCGTATTTATGAGAGGAGGCGCGCGCGCAGCCCGGCGCATCGAGGTGGACTGAACGCCGAGCGGCACGATACCTGCGCTCACCTGTCCCCTCCCCTCTACCATCAGGAACCGGATGGCACTCCAAAACAAAACGGTCAACAAAGGACGTGCCACGAATGTTCGCGCCACCGCATCCACGGAAGGGTCGCTGGGGGCTGTTCGAGCGGGGACGCATCCCGATTATACAACACCTGACTCGCGCGGCGAAAGGTTCATGATTTACTGCCGGTAATGAAATCTTTGAAGCGAACGATGTAGAGCGAGCCAACGATAGCGGGACGAACGCATTTGAAACAAAAGCAACTGCTGTTCTGGCGGTTCGAGAGACTGAAACCGCTGACAGAGCTCGAGCAGAACGATTGCACAATCGGATTGTCTAAAGTACACATACACAATTGGACAATGGAATTAAATGAGTTTTGAAATCGATTTCCATATCACCTACTTTGTAATAATAGAAATGAATCAGCGGCAACGTAACGTGCAAAGCGGCGTTATCAAAATCGATATTAAACTGATAACAGATATTGCGACAATCGGATGCCTAAAATGCCAGACATGCTTTTTAGCTACTTAATTATTACTATAGATTAAGTATTTGAGATTGCCTCAAATGCAATAGAATCGTTAGACGTAGCTTAAAGACACAAGCTATTTCTTTCATTAAAATTTTAGCTTGTATATTAAAATTTTCAATAATTTAAGATTCAAGACACTTTTCGTAACGATGTTACTAATATACATTGCAATAAGTCACAATCTGAATGTGCTTACATTTAATTCAAATAAGTTATATCGTATCTTGGACTTCGTAAAATTCTTTAATATTCAATTTTCACTCGACAGATGTCGCCATAACGGAAATTGTGATGTACCGTTGAACTATATTCGAGAAGAACGTAAAATTAATGTTCAACACTTTGCTTTAGTTCCTGTTAAGAGGTCTATACACTAGTTGAATTCATTTTTTTTTTACTTTACAAATACTAGCTGTGCCAGCGACTTCGTCCACGTAGAATAGTTATTTTGGGGGTCAAAATATGTTTTTGCACACATTTATAAATTTTAGCTATTACCGCCGATGTCGGTCTCGGCATCTCGGCATTCTTACGAGTTATTCATAGATAGACTATATATATATATATATATATATAGTATAATTTGAACCAGTATTTCTCTAGATTAGCGCGTTCAAACAAACAAACTCTAAAGATATATAGTATTAGTACAGATTAATATTTTTCAACTACCTTCATGTGCATGTGCGTCTGCTTGTAGCATCCGAAACAAGACGTGTAGCTAAAGAAACAGCTATACTAACTGAAGGTATGCTATTTTAGTCGCTTTTGGTCGTGGATTTGGGCCCTGTTTAGTAGTCGATTTTTTTTAAATATCTGTGAAAAGCACGTGTATGCCACACATTAGAAATAACGACTATTGTATTAAAATACAGAGCAATAAACATCGCAAAACGTGAGAAAACTGTATCTCAAGAACAAAATTATCACTATAAATCATCTCAGCGACAATAAGCGGCTGACGTGATTTTTCAAGTAACTGTAAACTGGATAGATTTCTGCTTGTGTAACTGTTGGTGTGTGTTTTAAACAAACGCATGACAGTTCTTTATGATAGAGGAGCACAGACAACCAAGGGCTTCTCTTGATGGTAGGTGAAGTACTCCAGCCATGTACCATCCAAACAAGATGAGCTGTCGACGTTTTCTTTGGAAATTCGGAAATCCTATCCTAAACTTAACGGCTTACTGTATCTGTGAATGGTTCTGGATATTCTAAACCGGATATTAAGTAGGTATTTAATAATCAGACTTCCAGACAAAGTCCTAAAATGATTGATAAGAAAAATGTCGAATCCATAGGTCGAACCCGCTAAGTACCCGCGTACATTACTACCATTAGACCAACGAGCCCGTGGTAAACGTCACTAAGGTATACTTTTCTTTTTTTAATATAGTTTGGAATAATGTGTCTCGCCTACCAACTATGAATAGCTAAGCCTAACCAAAAACTATCACGATCTCAATAAAAAAAACTCTTTAAATTAAATTATATAATTACCTTACTAATATAATTAATAAATTTTTTTTGTAATAATTACTATCAATTGTAAAAAGCACGGGCAGGACTACAGCCTACGAGATATAGTTGACTTGAAGTACTCTATTAAGCAAGGAGTTAACTTAAAATATACCTAGTGACAACATGAATTCACTAAAGTAACATAATTAGGTACGGAAAAGGAAATTGTCTTATAGAAAACAATAAAAGTATACCTACCACATTGAGGAAAATGCGCCGAGTGAACTTTTCCTGTAGTTTGTAATTTTACGATAAAAATTTGCATCAATGTGTATCAGTCTGAATAAATTAAAATTTCTAATTAAATTCTGTTAACAGTTTTTTGGCGTAACTTAATATTCTAAGTTAAAAGTGAAAGCTAATGTAATCAAACAACAGGTGCAGAATTATAATAATTAAGTCAATAATTTTTGAAGCAAATTTCTTAATAATTTTATTTAGAATTCTATTAATTATAAATATTTTTTAGGAAATATTGTTTTGCTATTTTGTATGTAAGTGTTATGTGTAACAAGTTAGTTAAGAAGGGCTTTTTTTATGTAATATGTCCCTCAGCAAGTTAGATAAAAGAACAGAAATTGTCATCGCAATTGCGGATGGTATAGATTTTTGTCTGTTATTTAAAAAAAAGTAAATAGGTAATATTTACTTTAGTCGAATAGTATAAAAAAAAGTAATACTACTAGAGATTATATTTAGAGACCCGGCTTCGCCTTTAAACTGGTTTATTTATTTATATTACTTGAATGTATTGCTTAATTAAATATTAATACATTATTAATATTCTGTGCTATTACATAAAATCTATCTAACACATGCCTTATTAAAAATAATTTACAAGTTATGTATTATAGATAGAGATGTCTTGTTTATCCCCGTACCTACTAGTTATTATAACTGTGTGAAATATTTGAATCTTGAAATAAAGCGAATATTTGTTTGTTAAAGAGAGCGGTATATTATCATACCGTGGTTGTAAAAAATAAAAAAAATGATTTATTTGAATAGCCGTGAATGCTAAATGCACATATCCAACAGGTACGTAGCGAGTTATACAAAGTGTAACAAAAAGTAAGAAACACCTTGCTTGGGGTTGCGGGGGCTAATGAGGTCACCGTTCTTGGCACTCACCATCTGCCTATCTATTAGCCATAACAGCCAATAGCCATAATAGATATACTGGTTTCAAGGGATAGTGGGCATTTGCCTAGCTTCGCTGTTACAGCTTGCTGCGACCAATACACCTATTATATACACTTTATATGCGTGTGTATTATAACAACAGACCGAAATGAGAATATTTTATAGTTTATAAAGAACACCCTACAAAAACTTTCTTTTTTCAAGCAAGTATATTGAGATTTATTTTATATTATATAGATTGGCACATTCATTCATATTTTCATGCATATAAGAACTTCCTTTTAAATAATTCTTTTTAGAATTGATATAGGCATTTGGTTGTGATCTTCATCATTTCTTTTATCTTAAAAATAAAAAATCAAATACGTATATGGTAATATTGATGTGTTTATAAATTTTTATATTTTTTTCACATGTAAGCAGTAAGTTAGAAAAAAACAATTTTAATTGCCAATTTTTATTATATGTATATATTATAAGGACTGAAATATACATTGTAATGCACATGAGAATACATATATTTTAAAATTTCTATACGCCTTTAGTTGTGAACTTTCTCATTGTTGTTATTTGAAAAAAAAAAACAGTGGAAATAATTACATGGGTAGGTATAAATACCTACCAAGGTAGAAAAGTATTAGAATTTTTAGATTTTTTTTCTTTAGTATTTAATTAAATAGTAAAAAAGAAGAAACAGCTCTTAGCGAAAGAAATTGTGTGGCTCGTGCGGGCGACAGGTGCGGCAGATGCTACAAAACGCATCTTTGCGGATACATCTTGTATGTCTATTTCATTCCCTTGCCCTTTTGCTTATAACAGCTGAATGTCCCAATTATTTATAAAAGGTAAGATAACACGATAAACAAATTACAGATATTTAAAAACTATATAACAATTAATTTAATAACTAAAAACATTACGTCGTTTTTTTTATTTACTATGTGTCAAAAAAATATTAATAAAACTCTCTTTAGGGTGATAGTTAAAATGAAGAGACTATTTGCCGCCATCATATCGCACTTTTTTTCTTGATGGCCGAATTTATTTTAAAACTATATTTTTAATAGTTGTGCATTTCTATTTGTATTTTGAAAATTGACTTTTGAAAAATCTGAATTAAAATATGAATTAATTTCATATTCACTGCCATCCTCCTCAAAAGTAGTATCCTGACTTCCTTTTGTACAAAGTACCGAAACGGGGGCCATAGGTAAAAAAATTTTAACTAATATGTACTACTCTAATATGTACTACTCTCGTAAACTACAGACGGTACTCAATCTTCCCTTCAACAATGTATCAAATGAACGAAGCCTTCGCCGAAATAACATATAATTAAATCACCACGCAGGGGGTAGACTCAGTTAACATCTAGCATCATGCGCTGAGTGCATTAATAGGTCTCCTAATTACCTTATCTACGTAATTATGACTGCGATGCTGCCATGCATGCACGAGATGTTTTGCTAGAACTTTGTATGGAAATAGAGCATGTTTTAATCAATGCTAGGCGCATATTACCCAGGATTTCCGCGTTTAAGTACTCATTTGTACTTGTTGGGAATAAAAAGGTTCGCTTACCCTAATTGGTCTGAGCTTCTAACTGGTAGAGACTTTTAAGACCCACCACCACGCTCCAGTTCGGACTCGTGGGCTATAACAAACTACGCCTATTAGTGACAATAATCGGGACAGATGGATTAACGAGATCTTTGTGTTTGAAGTCAAGCATAAAGATGGTAACCTAATTTCAAATTTCGGACTGCTTCTAAACAAATTAGGTTGATACGGTTGTTCTTGGGTCGGTTTTTCTTCGCTCCTAGTCATAGCGCGATGTTTTATAGCCTTCCGCGATAAATACTTTACGTATAAATATCAACACAAAAATATTTTTCCAATTCGAACTAATAGTTCCTGAGATTAGCGCGTTCAA